TGTGGTGCTGCTTGGCCTGCTATGTTCATCCAGCTCTGCACCTTTTTGTCTCGGATTCTCCAGCATCTGCAGTTCCTACTATCTCTGAGTTATGGGACTGAAAACTGCCACAACAACTATTATACCCTTCAGCAAAATGCTTATAAGCAAACCCAAAAATAAGCTACCAATACACTGCTACAAGGTGGATGCAGATTTGCATTTTTGAGGCTAGTCAGCAACTGCAGATGCTTAACTCAACAACAACTATTGTAACCGTCAACAGGGTCAGTAGAACATCTGAATCTTGCATGAGATACAGATTGTCTCATCCACTATAACAGCGTCCTGCATTCTGTGACATATACAATCTATGTTCCACAAGGGATCAGTGGGTTAAAATGTGTAAGAAATCCAATTGCCCAGAGAAACCCAAACTGCAACACAATGCCCTACCATAGAGTCACATAGAATAGAAACAGACTCTTTGGTCCACCTATTCCATGCGACCATGTTCCGAAACTAAACTAGTCCCATCTACCTGCACTTGGTCCATACCCCTCCGAACCTTTCCTATTCATGTAATTATCCTAATGTCTTTTAAATGTTGTAACTGTACCTGCGTCCACCATTTCCTCTGGCAGCTCATTCCACACATGAACCACTCTCTGTATAAAAATGTTGCCCCTCATGTCCTTTTTAAATCTTTCTCTTCTCACCTTAAAAATATGCACCCTAGTTTTGAACTCCCCCACCCTAGGGAAAAGACCCTTGTTATTCACCTCATGATTTGTAAACATCTATAAGGTCACCCCTCAATCTCCTAAACTCCAGTGCAAAAAGTCCCAGTCTATCCAGTCTATTATCATAATTCAAGCCTCCATGCCTGGCAACATCCTGGTAAATCTTTTCTGAACCCTCTTCAATTTAATAAAATTCTTCCTATAACAGGGGGACAAGAACTGCACACAGTACTCCAGAAGAGGCCTCACCAACGTCCTGTACAACCTCAACATGATGTCCTAACTCCTATACTCAAAGTTTTCAGCAATGAAGGCAAGCGTGCTAAATACCTTCTTAACCACTCTGTCTATGTATGACACAAATTCAAAGAATTATGTACCTGAACCCATAGGTTTTGCTGTTCTATAACACTACCCAGAACCCTACCATTAATTATATAATTCCTGCCCATGTTTGCTTTACCAAAATGCAATAGATAGCATCTACCCAAATTAAACTCCATCTACCACTCCTCAGCCCATTGACCCAATTGATCAAGCTCTCTTTGTAATTCCTCCAACTAAATATTAGGAAACTGAAACCAACCAAGCTCTGGAATTCCTGCCCTAATCCTTTTGCTTGCTCAATCTCTTTGACCAAGATTTAGGCCACCCTAATATCTCCGTATGTGGCTCGGTGCGAAATTCTGTTTCATAACGCTCTTGGAAAGCACCTTAAGTCATATGTAAGGCTGTGTATAAATCCAAGTTGTTGGTATTATGAAGCAACTTGGGGTGTTAAAGGTTCTTTCTAAACAATATCTGTTGGAGGTTGCAGTGGTTTTGTAATTCCAGTTGAATAAACAATTTAACTTAATGGAAGTATAGCAAAACATCATTGCTGGAATGAAGAAACAATAACACTAGTGACAACCAAAAGCAATGCTGTGCACAGCTGTGAAATAGTTGCACAGTTTGTTGTTTCAACAATGGTCTGTGCTGTATCGGATCCTAATTTACAATCCTCCATTGATAACCACACATGACACATTGCTTAGCTGTGGGTCGCCATGGGGCAAGTACCAGCTTCGAGCTCTGAATGTGATTTTTGTTCTATCCCTTTGATTCATGTAGATCAATGTGTTGGCCATGGGAATACTGAAATCATTTGGGATCTTATCTGTGGCACTTCAGGAAACTTTCCAGGCATCTATGGAACAGATCAGCTGGATTGGATCGATTATGTCATGTGTACGATTAACTGCAGGTATTATGAAAATATAATGCATTCCTGCGTGGTGTAGAAATATTTATAACTATACAGCATATCAACAGTGTTAAGAGAAATCGAATAAATTTAAAGCCCACTGCAGTGGGGATTGAACCTCTGTGCCCACAGCATTAGCCTAGCCCTCTGGACTGCTGTGAAGGATGCAGCAATATTTGCATTTGGAATGCATGTCAGTGCATTGCAAAGTACCAACATGAGTAGCTAGTATAATTATAATTTAAGTTTGGCATTGTGGAATAAACTTTGCTGGGAATCACTGTCTCTGGCAATGAAGTCGCAATAGCATCTCATTGTACAGAAGAGCAAAGCAGTTAGCATCAGTAATAGTAGCTAATGTAAAATTAAAACACTGAGCTCCTTACACTTGGGCATAAAATGTAGGTTAGGTTTGCAGTGATAATGTACAACTTTTTTCCCCTTTTCTGCCACTTTTTCCATCTTCTAATTTACTTCGTCTTGCGGGAGATCAGGGCATGGTGCTCAGTGTTATTGATCAGACCTGACCAGACCCCCTCAAAATATTTTAAGAAGGTAGCCTAGACCCTAGCTTTTGCTTATTTTGAAGGGAGATGTGAAATGTCATGTTCCAGATGCGATGTGACTGGTCAAACTATTCAACATTAAGCAAAACACAATTTATTTAGACACTATAGTTAAAATACAAACAAAAGAAAGAGGAATTTAGAATAACTTAACTATTGTAAAACTTAACTGAATAATAGATACAGTACCTATGACTAATTAACTTCCAATATAGTAATATCCCATAAAAAAACAACCCTTGGCAAAAAGTCAAATTCAGACACAGATTCTTACATGCAGTTCTCCAATCCAGGAGGAAGAAACATCGAGAGAACATTCAGGGAGTATAGCAGCCAAGAGACATTCACTGAAGCTTTTAAATCTTTTGAGACCCCAAACAGTTTCTGACTACTTAAAGCTAAAAACAACTAGAAAGCCTGGTCTTTAAGAGCTGGCCTCAAGCTGCTTCCAACGTTCCAACTTGTTAAAAAAAGGCCTAAGGCCTCAAAAGTTGTTTGCTTAAGTCATCTTCATGAGCCATTTCATTAATTCTACCTTACAACCTCTCTTCAAAACAATACCAGAGCAGAGTAACCTTTTAAAAAGACGGCATCGTCACATTTAGATATCCTCAAATGATCTTCATTCTGTGAGGTTCTGTCATACATTTGAGTGTAAGGAACTGGATAGAGTGTTCTGCTCGTGGGTAGCATTATAAACAGGCCAAATTCTTGCCTTGCCCACTGCAGGAGGAGCAGTGATCACTGATCAGGTTTTAAATTCTCCAGCCCAATGCCGATAAGACCAAGTGTAACATACCTATCTGAAAACCTGTTATTGCTTGCAGTGTATGGCTTCTTAATCATGTGTCTGACGCACCCGTTCACTGGAGCCATTGGTGAGGTGAGAGGATGGTCAATGTACATTTAACATTGAATGTTGTCAATGGAAGTAGATCTGAGCCGATATTAATAGAGGAGCACAATGGGATCTTTCCCAGATATTTTCTCCCTTGAGTAATATTGTTCTGGGATTTTGTTTCTGTACCAGGTCCAATTGCTTGTATATTCTGTGCAAAGATAGGCGAGAAACAAACTGGAATTCTGGGGGCAGCCATGGTATCTACTGGATTGTTCTTAAGTTCATTCGTTGACAGAATTGCCTTGCTCTATGTCACACTTGGTTTATTGGCAGGTAAGAGTTATCTTTACTAAAATGTACAGGAGAAACCCCCTTTGTAGTAAAGCTTTACTAGCTAGAAGAGCTGGTTTCAACTCCACCCCTTCATTTTTCTATGTGGCAGACACTAGGGCAATGGGCTGAACCGTTTCCCTCTGCAGTGAATGACTCGATGATATGAAGGAGCTGCTTAAATACTTGCTCTAAGTTGGGGGACAGGGCCTCAGACTGGGAGACTAGTCTCTGAGTGAAGGAGAGCATATGGAGAATGGCCAAATCTAACAATTAGAGATACCCCCAACTGCTGACACTCTATACATTGAAGGAGGCCCCTTCATCACACACACAGGCATCGAGCAGGCCCACGGGCACTACCCTTACACACGAAAAAATTCAATGATGCCACACTTTTGGTGCACTGTGCAATTACCAAGTGAAGCACAGAATCCTTCTGTTTAACCTTCTATCTTTTTTCTAAACTTAAGAAGAAGTTATTGTTACCCTCTTCACCCATTTCCAGCATAGTGCCAACAGAGAGATTTACCCCAATCCTGTGCAGTATTGACCCAGTATAAGAGAGTCACGCATGTAATATTCCTCTTTCTCATCACATAGCAGCAACTTGCCTGTATAGAGCGCCTTTACTATGGCAAAATGTTCCAAGTCGCTGCTTAAGAGTGTTCGCAAGCAACATCAATGTTGAGTAAGGAGATATTAGAATACGTGATCAAAAGGATGGTCATAGGGATAGTTTTTAAGGAACAAAAACAGAAGTTGCTGGAAAAGCTCAGGAGGTCTGGCAGCATCTGTGAAGAAAAAAATCGGTGTTAACATTTCAGGTCCGGTGACCCTTCCTCAGAACAGGACATGGGGACAAGAGGTAAAAATCCTCCTGCCAGCTTGAGTTTCCTGAATGGCAATATTGCTGACTCTGGGAAGTTCTTCATATGGGAGATCGTGGTCTTTTCCCCTCCTTTGCTGCAGATCGCATCAGTAAGTCTCCAACTTGGTATGCCGTAGCTCTGGCTTAATGGAAAAACTTTTGATATTAAGGGCATCCCCAAGGTAAGAGATTGTGGTTCACCTTGCGTTCTCTCGTTCCGCTCATCAACGGTCATATGCTTCTTGATATCTTTTCGTAGGGTGTGGGTTCGCCTTCCTATCCCAGGCTGCGGCTCTGAACACAACCAAGTACTTCCGCAGAAAGCTTACCACAGCATGTGCCATTTCCCGCTCTGGCACAGGACTCACTTTCGCCGTGGCTCCATTCCTGCAGTATCTTCTCAATGAATATGGCTGGCGAGGTAGGGTCTCATTACAATGCGATCAGTTTACTGAGTGCACAGCTTAATCAGAAACGCAAACAGCAATTGTTGACCCCTGTTTAACCCTGAGGTCGGGGTCACTGTAGTGTTTGGAATGAGGTGGACCTTATAGAATACTAGCTCCCTGATTGGGGCTGTTAACCTAATCAGGGAGCCCTGGCAGATAGATATAAACAGGAGTGTGAGGGTTTCTGTTCACTTCAGAAGCTGGCTCTGAGCTAGCGGGTTCAGTGTTATGTACTATATATGTGTAAGTAAAGGGTGACTTGGTGACAGGATATTGGCTTTTGTGGAGTTATTTCAGTCCCAAAATCCTTGAGAATTATCTAACCAAAATCTCCTCTGTAGAAAGACTTTGTTCTGTGATTGGTGCCTCAGAAAGTTATCCTTTATATAGAAAATCAAATCTAAACCACACCATTAGATTGTGGCATGGACCTCATTGCCACATATGCATAATCAACATATATTAGGACTTAATTGCCTCATTGTTAAGTTTCTGTTATTCTCTGTACAGTTGTTCACTTAATATAGATATATGTGGGCATCACCAACTTTGATCAAATTATTTTTTATTGAAAATTAGATAATGTAAAAGACCACTTAGCACTTTTTTTTTAAAGTGATTGCTCTGCTCCTTATATTTGTAAAGGTGCGATATTGATTCTGTGCGGACTAACACTGCACCTGATTCCACTGGGGATGCTGAATCGTCCAATTTATTTGAAGCAAGACCAGCCCAAGGACTGCGATCGGAGGGAATGTTACCAGCGGCAGCTCCCCAAGGACAAAAAGGACATGATCGCTGCTGGAGTATCAAGGGCACAGCTTCCCGTCCCTTGCTGTGCCAAACCAGTCAGAGGATCTCTCTCAAGTCAGAACAGACAAGAAGATTCTAACTCTTTACAAAGTGATCCGAAACAAGCCACGGAGCCCAGTGCTGCTGATGGATTGTCAATTTTACAGCCTAAGGAACTCTCCTCTTCCCACGATCCTATTTCGTTAAAACAATTGCATTCATCTGCTCTACCTGGCTGCAAAGTCCAAAATGGTAACTCAAACCAGTTACTAGCCACAGTTACCATGCCGACAGACACAAGACACAAGGGATTGTGCAGGGAATTTGGTCTACAATTGAAGTCTGTTTCTGACGGTGTGAGAAACCTCATTGACTTTACTCTGTTGACAAACCCAGTCTTTATTATTTATACAATTTGCACCTTTTTCAGCCAATTGGCCTATTTCATACCATACTTTCATGTGGTTGCCAAGGCAAAGGCTTTGGGCATACAGCCATTCCAAGCCACCTTACTCATTTCGGTTGCTGGTAAGTACTATGTAGTTATGTACGTCTACAATTATTCGTAGAGACAAACGATTTCTTCTGTTCTCTTTCTGTCACTCAGTTAGACTTTATCACCATGATAAAAACTAACACTGTTTGGATATGAATTTCATCAGCAGTGGATAAATATTAATACCATAGGAGGTTGTATTCTGCCATGTTTAATTATTTGTTTCACAGAATCATAAGAATGTTTACAGCATAGGAGGAGGCCATTCAGCCGGCATGTCATTGTTCGTGTTGACTCTCTACATGAGTAACTCAGATAGTCCCACTCCCCTGGCCTTTCCCTGGAGCTCTGCAAGTTTTTTTTCTCTTCAGATTCTTGTCCAAGTCCCTCAGTTATATTTGCCTCCATCCTATTTCCAGCTGTCGCATTCCAAATCTGTGTTTTCCCTCATCGCTGTCACTTTATATCAGGCATCTTCTGGTTCTCAGTCCTTCTGCCAATGAGAAGCAACTCCTCTCTATCAGATCATGTCATCTCGAGCAGCTCTATCAAATCAGCTCTAGGCCTTCTGTTCTTTATGGAGAACATCCCCAGCTTCTCTGATCTATCCACAAGCCTGAAGTCCCTTACCTCTGGAACAATTCTCAATAAACATTTTGCACCTTCTGCATCGTCACTGAAGTGTTACACCAATATCACCTCCACTTGTTTAGTCAGTGTTTTATAGAGTTTCATCATCGCTTTCTTGCTCTCCTTCCCTGTGGCTCGATTTATAAAGCGCAGGATCTGGTCATTCTTATGAACCACTTTTTAATCTGCCCTGCCACCGTCAGTGATTTGTACACATTCACTTACCCCTCCCAAACTGCCCCAGGTCCCTCTGTTCCTCCATCCCCATTAGAAATAAGCCTTTTAGTTTGTATTGGCTTGCCTCGTTCTTCCCACCAAAATGTACCACTAATGTCTCTCTGCATTTCCTTTCTCCCTGTTCCGCTGGACGAGAAGCCACTAGAGAAAAATTTGACTCATTTCTCATGCTTTATTGCGAGAAAAGCTTGCCATTTCTTGCTGTCACCCATCTTCAGTCAATCAGGATAGTCCCAGTGGACACTGGAAGCTCAATACACAAGGTGTCTGGGACCCATGCCCTACACTACTTTACCCTACCTTTTACATGGAATTAAAATTCTGATAAGGTGATTGGTTATCTATCACGGGATTATTATGATGCAGAAGGAGGCCATTTGGCTCATTGTGTCTGCGCTAGCTCTTCAATTGGGCATTATTACTGAGGGCCAATCTCCTGCTTTATCCAGGTACCTGTGCGCACTATTTTTATCCAAACAACCGTAGGGTCACTGGACCCGAAACGTTAACTCTGATTTTTTTCTTCACAGGTGCTGCCAGACCTGCTGAGCTTTTCCAGCAACTTCTGTCTTTGTTCCTGATTTACAGCATCTGCAGTTCTTTCGGTTTTTATTTAATTGTCCATACCAACTTTGGAAGCTTTCAAATTCTAGTGCTATTGTACGATGCACATAGTGAACTGAACACTGCCTTTGGCTAAGAGTCTGAAAGTGGGCAACTGTTCATTTCATCTCCTTTGTCTAAGCTCCTTAGAGCAGAGCTGCTGAATGCAAACCAATTCCCAACCCAATTAGTTCAATCAGATAGGACCCATCAATTCTTTTTTTTTGCTTTAACTATATTATAACCTCATGAATAAAAAGATTCACAACAACATGAAATCCTCTGTTTGGATAAATATGATTTCCATTGTTGCAAAGTACGTGCTGTTCCAATGTGTGAGTTATATTAATTAGCAGCGATATGTTTAGAAATACAGTATGAGATGGAGTAAGTTGCAGAGTGGCGCCATGGTAACTATTTTGGTCGCATTCATTGAAACTGTTGACACAAAATCTAGATTATGTTTCAGAAATAATGGTTAATTATTGTGCCTTGTTGCTGTTACCCAGGACTTCTGAAATCACGAGCCGAAATGTTGGGGTCTCCCACTGTGGAAATAAGAAAGCATAAACATATGTAAGAAAGTGAACATAAAAATAGGAGCAGGACCAGGCCATTCAGCCCCTCGAGCCTGCCTTGCCATTCAACAAGATCAAGACTAATCTGCCCCCTAGGCCTCAGCTTGGGGTAGCAATAGTTTCCCTGGAGCTCTGACTGTGAGACAGCTTTAAATCCTCATATCCCTTTGCAAACTGTGACTGTGGCCTGAATGATGTTGTGGCACAGCTCCTGCAGCAGTGAAAATGTTAAAAACAAAACATGAAACCTCGTCCTAACCCTCCCTTTTCCATACCCTATGTTCTTTTGGACGTTTCGCCCCACCCCTATTTCACTGATGTCACATGTCTCCCCACCCCACACCACCCACATGCTTCTCTAGACCTAACTGAGGGGTGGTAACACTTTTCCAGCATTGAAATGGGATCCCGGTGGGGCAAAGCGTGGGAATTCCTGCACTAGCCCATTTTAAGGATTTTGCTCAAAGTCGATCTTTGGGGTGGTATAATGACTCCCTTTCTTAGCTGGTGGGGAGGTTGCTGCTCCTAGGCATCTTCCGGCATCATTTTATTGTTGGTCATTGGGGCCAACTCAAACAATAGGTACATAGCACCACTCAGTGGTGAGAAATAGATTTGCATCAGCAAAGGAGAGAACATAGATGTACATTGACAGCGAGCACTTTCAGGGAATTGCAATTCACAATTCCATTGTGTTTGAAGTAAATATGGCATAGAACAAGTTTGCAAAAAGGCAGTAAATGACCAGTAATGATAAAGAAACAAGAACACAGGGGAGAAAACTCAGCCGGTAAAGCTGCAGCTGCGAGGAGAGAGAAAAATAGAGTTAATGTTTCAGATCTATGTCCCTTCATCAAAATTGGGAAATGTTAGAGATGTTACAGACTTTGGGTTAGGGTTGGGTGGGTTAGGGTTGGGTGGGTCAAGGATGAAAGAAAAGCCTGTGCTAGAGTGAAAGACAGGAAAAATTGATTGAAAGACAGGTAAGATTGAATGATGGAAGAGTTAACCTTCCAAGACCAAAAGGAATAATGATGGGCCAAGTAAAGAAAGAGAAAACAATGCAAGGCACTCTTACAGCAGGTATGCTGCTAACCGGAATAAAGTAAAACTGAGAACAAGCAATAAGAAAGAAACAAAATTGGGACAAGAGATTACAGTTGCACTCAGTGTTGACTCCAAAAGGCAATAAGGTACCTACTTGATTTGAGAACAGCACCACCGAACCTATTGATTTGTTTCCAGAATTTTCTGCTTTATTTCGGCTTTCCAGAATAGCTAGTATTCTGCATTTCAACTGATGTATTGATAATGTTGCATGAGGGTTTTTTAAAAAATTATTTTACGGAATGTGACAATTGCTTTCTGGACCAGCATTTGTTGCTTATCCCTAATTATGGGGCAGTGACAGCCAAATGGTATTATCGCTAGGCTGTTAGTCGAGAGACCCAGGTAATGTTCTGGGCACCTGGGTCCGAATCCCAAACGGAATTCAATAAAAATCTGGAATTAAGAGTCTAATCATGACCCATCTGGTTCACAAATGCCCGTTAGAGAAGGAAACTGCCATCCTTACCTGGTCTGTCCTACATGTGACTCAAACTGACAGCAATATAGTTGACTCATCATAACTGCCCTCAGGGTAATTAAGGATGGTCAATAACTGCTGGTCTAGCCAGTGCCCATGAATGAGTTTAAATAAAAAACTTATGCTTGAACTGGAAAATTCTCCCACTGCCAGAGTCATGGGACCCTTTAAATCCATCTGAGAAAGCAGATCAAATGTGGTTTGAATACTTCACTGTGATATCCAACATGACACCCCTCCATCAGCACTGCACTCAAGCGTCAGCCTAGATTATATACGCAGTTTGTTAGAGCAGGGATTGGATCCTCTTAAACAAAATGCTGGACTGAGAGTAGTGTGGATATTGATGCAGGCTTTCTTGCATAAGGGTATTATTCAACTGGAGAGGGTTCAGAAATGATTTAAGAAGAAGTTGCCGGGAATGGAGCGTTTGAGATATAAAAATAAACTGGAAAAACTGGGACATTTTTCACAGCAATGTAGGAGGTTGAGAGGTGACCTTATAAAATCATGGTTTATAAAATCATGAGGGGCGCGGATGAGGTGAATGACAATGGTCTTTTTCCTACAGTGCAGGAATTTAAAAATGGGGAAATTTTAAAGTGAGAGGAGAAAGATTTAAAAAGCACATGAGGGGCAACTTTTTTACACAGAGTGTGGTTCATGTGTGGAATGAACTGGCAGAAGAAGTGATGGATGCAGGTGCCATTACAAAGTTTAAAAGACATATGGATAAGTTCATGAATAGGATTGTTTGGAGGTATATGGGCCAAGCGCAGGCAGGTGGGACTAGTTTAGTTTGGAAACACGGCCAGCATGGACTAGTTGGACCAAAGGGTCCATTTCCATTCTATATGACTCTATGACTCCATGACCCTATGGCTGTATGACTATGACTCCTTACCTTGAGTATGAGCAATGAGCTAAGCCTGACAGTGTAATCCCTAATGTTGTGGTTTGGCTGACCGTAATTGTGGAAATATGGATGCCAAATAGAAATTAGCCATAGCCTCAGAAGAAATTCAGGAGGAATATAGTCCCTGATGCCTTCAAATATAATTTGTCAGAGATGTGTTCATGAGGATCTCGGATCTCATGCCTACAATTATTATGTTGAACTGAGAGACATGAAAAATGACAGAGGAGTGAGAAAGTAAACATGGAGGCGGGCTGAATGGCTTGTTTCCTTGCTGTCAATGCTTTGTAATTCTGCCAACTTACTTTTGAAAAACACCCTCCATGTTGAAGAACATCTGAGAGCACTTTGAACGAAGAAAAGGAGTCGTTGCAAGTTCAAGTCCCATGAGCATAAAATTGCAGGTTGACCCTGCAGGAGGAATGCTGCATCATTGAAGCTGCTCTCTTTCAAATCAGTCATCAAACGAAAGCTGTACCTGCTTTTTCAGGTAGCTTAAAGAGCCCCGTCACGTTTTTGGATGGAGAACTGGGGTGTTTTCCTGGCAAAATGTTATCAACAATAATAATTAAATAGATTATCTGGGCACTTAAGTCTTATTTTTTAAATTAATTCTTGGGATGCGAGCACCATTGGCAGGAACAGCATTTCTGGCCCATCCCTGATCGCCCTTGAGCAGAGGCCGGAGAGCTGGCTGCAGCTTGGTTAGTTTGCTCCTTTCTAAAGGGCAGGTGAGAGTCCACTGTATGGGTAATGAGCCTCACAGAGACCATACAGATTAAGGACAGCAGATTTCTTCTTTGAAAGATATTGGTGAACCACATAGATCCTTATGGCAATCCAATTGTTTCACAATCAACTAGAACTAAAATTCCTGCTTTATTAATTAATTGACCTTAACTTCCATTTGCTAAAGTGGGATTTGAACTCATGGCTCGAGAACAATAGCCCTCTAGTCTACGGTTTGCAAATCCAGTAACCTGACCACCAGGCTGCCAATCCCTGGTATGGGGGAATCTCTGCTGTGATAAATTTTCTGCTGTGATTCTCTTCATTATAACACTGACAACACTTCAAACATGCCATTTTGGTTGTATAAATTGTTTTGGGAAATCCCGAGGTCATGAAATGTGCGATGTAAATCTCGGTTCCTTTTGACACCTTAGGGAGTACTTTTTCAATGTGAGCGAAAACTAACAGGTGCCTTATTCCCCCCAGGCCTATACTTATCAATCAGTTTTGATTATTTTTAAACCCACATTTGGAATTGCACCATAATTCTGATTAAGTGGATCCAAGATAAGAGACCTCTCTTCACTCAAAGGGTTTTGAATTTTTGAAATTGCCCACTCCAGAAAGCTGGATTCTCCTTTGTTGAGTAAATTCAAGGCAGAGATCGATAAGTCTTTGGATTGTAAGGGGCTGGGAGGACAGGTTAAAAAGGCATAGCTGTGGTAGAAGATCAGCCATGATCTTATTAAATGGCAAAGCAGGCTCGAAGGACCCAATGACCCTCTCCAGCTTCTGTTTTTCAAAGTAATTGCATTTGTTTGAGTGGGACAATTGGATAGCTCTTTCAAAGAGCTGGTTTGAACTTGCCACAACAAGTTTCTGTGCTGTATAATTCTACAGTTCTACAATTATGAGCACGTACAATATGATTCTGACTTAATTATTTTCTTTGCCAACATTTGGTGTGTTACAGTTCTCCTAAAATGCAAATTTTCATTGCAGGAATCGTTGAGATTGTGGCTCAGCTTATCTCTGGCTACGTCGCCGACCGTAACTTGATAGCGAAGTATCATTACCACAAAATCTACTTGCTGTTTTGTGGAGCTGTCAATCTGCTGGCACCCCTAGCAAAAACGTTCCCGTCACTAATGGTGTACATAGTGTTCCTTGCTGTATTCTGTGGAGGTTATCTGACTTTGTTGCTTCCAGTCCTGGTGAGAGGGAATTTATTCACTCTGTTAACTTCAATATTCTTATCCCAAGTAGGTTGCTCCCATCTACTCACTTCATGTTGTACACCCATCACCTTACAGCCATCGAAGGCCACTTCTCAGGAAGAAGTCACTAGAAGGAATGTTTGAATCAGCTGGGGTTATTTTCCCATCCTTCATTTGAGTAGCCTTTCTGACCTTCAACAGTTACTAAAAGCAACAACGCAGGTCGAGGAAGCCATAATGAGTGCAAGAAAAAAGAAACATATGGGGTTTAATTTGTAGAGAATAAAATTCAAAAACTGAAGTTACCCTTATAGAGAATCTTGCTTAGACCACTCCCCGGTGTCAAAAAACAGTATTTGCTGGAAAGACTCAGTGGGTCTGGCAGCATCTGTAGAGAGAAAGCAAAGTTAGTGCTTTGTTTCCACTGACCCTTCTTCAGAACCACCCTTTCACACCTCATGGTACTGTGTATAATGTGGTCTTCCAGAAAACATTGGAAAAGTGCAGCAAAAAAGGTTTACAATAACACTCTCAGAATTGAGAGGAAAGATTGAACCTGGTGGATTTTTTGAATGGTGGAAGGGGTTCAATAGGATGGTTGTGGAGATAGTGTTTCTACTTCGGACCCAGTCAATAATGAGCAGGACACAAATAGGAAACAGCTGCTAACTATGATAGACCCATTTTAGGAGGATGTTTTTTGCACAGAATAGTGAGAATGTGGGACTTGCTGCCAAATGGAGTGGTTGTCAGTAATATTGACATACTGAAGAGGAGCTTTGATGTTAACACGAGGGAAAAGGATAAGCACAGAGGAGGAGAGTTTGTAGGCAAAATGGGAAGATGTAATTCAAGTGGGAAAACGTTCATGTAAAGTATATACACCAACCTAGACCAGTGAAATGAATAATCTTTTCCTTAACTGGGATTGCATGTAATTCTATATAATATTATCTTGCAGAAAGAAACAAGTCAAAAAGTTGTCACATCAATACTTATGGCTCAAAATTCACATCTTACTATCTGTCCCACAGTAAATTACAACAAACTTAACTCAATGATCTTTTACAATAGATCCCAGTGTAAATATTTAAGTTATGTTAGGTGCATCTTTTCAGTTAGAGAGTATCTTGACTAAAAGTCAGCAGACTAAATTCGTGGTGAAGTAAAGCACTTTTAATATCAGATTTGAACTTAACGTTGAAGTCTTTGGTGGGCATTATTCCTGTGCTAGAGCTACGGGCCTTGCCACCTCTTTATTGATAAATACCCTGAAAGAAGTATTCATAATCCTAGCTTCATAATGATGTAAATTAACAACACAGTTTATGTCTGAATACGGCTTTTTTTTTCAGGTTGACTTTATTGGAATCCATAGAATACACAAAGGAATGGGCCTGTACCAGTTCTTTGTGGGGATTGGTTGTTTGATAGGACCACCAGCAGCAGGTAAGTGAAAGCTCCTGCTCCCATTGAACGTATTATCAAATGAGTTAAGGAGAAAGCCAGTACAGAATGGTGTATACCTTCTTCAGTGTTGTTGGAGCTGCACTTATCCAGGCAAATGGAAAGTATCCCGTCACACTCCTGACTTGTGCCTTAAGGACAGGCTTTGAGGAGTCTGGTGGTGAATTACTCTCTGCAGAATTCCCGGTGTCTGACCCACTCTTGTAGTCACGGTATTAATGTGGCTGGTCCATTCAACCACTGGTCAATGGTAATCTCCACATTTTGAGACTTCTGAAGACTTCCTTGACAGTTCCATCTTTCTTGATACTTGTTGACAGGCCTTGACAAGTTGAACAGCTCCAATGGGTTCATTCATTGCTTAAGGACAATTTTCTCCACAGTTAACTGACCCAAAAGACACCTAAAGCCTCTCCCCTGTCACTTAAGGATAGCAGATGCCAACCCCCTCAAAGGGTCCCTGTAACCTCCTGACCCTCAGACTGTCCCAGGTCCCTGTCCGCATGGGAACCTCAGCACTCCAAAGAGACACCCTGGCCTTTCCAAATGCAATGCACCGAGGACAGATCTGCCCATAATTGGTTTACCCCATTTTGATGGAGTTAGCTATGAGTTCAATGGCTAGCTGGCTCTGGGAACTGAACAGACAGACCACAACTCCTACCCGGAGAGAGGTTGGAGTCAAAGGGCAGGTCTCGTAGTTCCTGGAAAATTCCAACATTTCCTCCAGGACAGAGGCACTGTCTGTCCAGATGGCAATCGACAATCAGTAGTTCCAAACCGACGAGCCCTTTTGACTTCACTCTCACCCTTGGTGATTTGGCTGGCTGAATTATTTTTCCATTCTTTGCTTGGGTTTTAGGAGTAGTTAGCTGGTCTTGATGCTAAGACCCCCACCCCCAATTCCAGGTTTGAAGTCAGAATGTATGTGAAACGCTGCATGTAGTTTACCTGTCCCCTACTCATTGACCTCCTCGCTCCGACAATTTTACTGTTGGCAGAGTTGACACTCTGCTCTCTAATGCGACTATTGAGGCATGTACCTGGACAATTACAGCCCATTTCTGATCTTGCCAATGCTAAGACTGAACCGGCAATGGATGAGGTCCACATTGAGTTGCCTGCCAGACAGGTTTCAGAGTGTGGATGGCGCGGAGTGGCATGGGAATTCTTTATTGGGCTTCCAGTGCCCTTTCGAAGGCACTACTGCCAACCCCTTTCAAGTTCCTCACTTGTCCCTCAACATGGCCTCTCATGCCCTGGCCTAGTCTGCAGCCAGGCCCTGCAAATTCATCATCCAGTACCTCTTCACCACCTCGTATAATACTGGAAGTGGCCATGTCTCCTGGTGGCACCACCTGTACTGAAGAGCTGCTGGTCTCTGATTGGCTGTCCTCGATGGATGGAAATACTGCCTCCTTAAATGGCAATGGGCAGCTTCTCCACCAAAAACAAAAGGTGCAGGGATCACAGAGCCTTGCAAAATCAAGCCCAACTTTGCCTTGGTTATTGTAAAATATCGAATTACCTTTTCCATTCACTCATGGGATGTGGGAGTTGCTGGCGTTGGCCTATCATTTGTTGTCCATCCCTAGCTCCCTTGAGAAGTTGGTGGTGAGCTGCCTCATACTTACCATGGTTCAGAAGGTTGAATTATGAGAGCAGGGTTGAGCAGGTTATACCAGTCTTGTAGCCTTTTGAGTATGGACAATGAAGGGGCGATTGGATACACTTGTTAACAATTTCTTAGATAACAAGGTGTAGAGCTGGATGAACACAGCAGGCCAAGCAGCATCATAGGAGCAGGAAGGCTGACATTTCGGGCCTAGACCCTTCATCAGAAAAAACAATTTCGTAGGTTTGGATTAAGAGAAAGTATTTGCCCAGGTGAAGGAGACAAGTGCAGGGACTTTAATTTAGAGCAAGGCTGTTCAAGAGCAAACCTAGGGTATACCTTTCACACAAAAGGTAGTATACATCTGGAACTGTCTACCCCAAACCACTGTGGATGTTACTAAGGCTGAAATAGCTAGATTTTATTGAGGGAAGGAAATTAAAATGGAGTTCATGTGCCGATCAGTCATGATTTACTCAAGTTGCAGACCTGTTTACAAGTTCTTATCCAAAGTGACGATTCTCTGTTTATAAGTTCTTAAAATCAAATTTTGAAGGCCGCAAAAGCACACTCCGAATAGGTATACTGTAGTACTATACTGCACGCTTGTAGTCCCGGTGAATAAGGGCTGTATTTTTAAGTACCTCCAAAGCAGCTATAGAATCACTGTTTTTTTTAGGTACAGATTCTTTCCTTTGAGGGACAGTAGGGAGGTAATGGAAGGATTCCCGTCGGCCAACACCATGAAGTGGTACTGTGGCCAATAAGCCTTTAATGCGGGAATTGAACCCAGCGCTTCTGGGTCAGAGGCGGGAATGTACCACTGCTCCACAAGACCTTCACAGGAAATTTCAATCAATTAAATAAAATATGGCATAAAATATTTGTATTACTAATAGTCACCATATTCAACTACTAATGATCCATTGAGTTCACTAATGTTCTGTAGAGAAGGAAGTCTGCCATTGCTGTCTAGTCTGGCCTGCATGTTATAACACACCCCCATGCAACGTGGTTCATTCATAAAATGCCCTTTGAGCTGTCCGAGTAAGCCATTCAGTTGTAAGTAAGAAGGCAGCTCATCATCACCTTCCCAAGGGCAATCAAGGATGGATAATTCTCAATCCCACAAATTCCAAAGACAAAAAGTTCTGATTCGCGTAGGCGGTTTTTAAGATTATAATTTGATGCCTAATTTCTGTTATTTCTACGAATCTTAGGTGCTCTTCATGACTACACCAAAAATTACGATGCTTCATTCCAGCTGGCAGGATCCTGCTACTTTGTTTCATTCTTAGTTTTATTCTTTGTTCCACTGGCTGAGAGGAAACTGTCCAAAGAAGCTAAGAAAAGAGTAATAGAAGACTCCAATAACTTGGCCCTGGAGTGTAATCGCCCTCCATCTCTTGAGCGCCCACCAGTGAAGGAGTATCTAGAGTTGGAAAGCATGGTCTAAAAGTGGCCCTACTCTGCACTGCTTCAATGAACATGGGCATTGGGAGTAACCAATGGGTTTTGCCAGTACTGGTGCCTTCAATGTGGATTTAACAAGGTAATAAATGAATGAAACCACTTCTGCCCAACAGGGAAGAAATGCAAATGGATGTCACATATCACATTGAGGAGAAACAGGAAGTTTGATGGATCTTTATGGTTTCACTTTTAATACGAATTCCAAGACAATCAGCATTGGAAAGAAGGAGCGCTGCACTTTATTTGAAAATTCATATTGAATCCTGAAGAATATAAGCATTTCGACACAGCAATATTTATATTTTCATTTTACAGGCTTTGAATGAGTGTATTTAACAATAGACAACTGAGGGATTGATGTGAGTAAAACCATCAGTGTAAAGGATGTTTTAAAGGATTGGAAGCGACTGGAACCCCTTAGTGTTTAAAATTAAATCCAAGGTTACAGTTAGTCAAATTGTAGAATTATTCTGTTATGAACACTGTGGAAGTCTTGAGATCATATCACCTCACTTCCTTGCTCATGAAGTAGCAAAGATGATATAATTTGGGGGAAAAGTATATTGTATGAAGAACAAAGAAGACCGAAGTGTAACAGAGGACGAGTGTATCACTGTCGTGGAATGTGGATCAGTGATTCCAAGTTCAAATCTAGTTCTCTAAGGGATGTAATGCTGACTGTAGACATAATAGACTGCAGTGTTGTTCATTAATTAATATGGCATCTGTTCCTTTCCATCCTTTCCTCCATATAGTGCCTTGGGACATTTTTTTATATTAAAGCCGCTGAGTAAAGGTAAGTGGTTATTGATTGGCCTTTCAGTCTCGTATCTCAGTGTTTTATGATTGAAAGTAGAGTTGTTCTCTCCCAGTTTATTCAGTTTGATTTAGTACCTTTCTTCACTCACTAAAAGTTCATTCCCTGCTCTTGTCTCCCTCACTTTCTCTCTGTGTTGGATATTATTTTATTTCATAATTCCTATAAATCCTCTCCAGATCTTTATTAAATCTTGATTTGTTATGCAACTATGTTTGGGCTGATGTTTTGCTATTCTGCTGGGTAGATTTGATCTGTCTCTCTTTCTCTGCCATCAAATTCAGCTGATCCTGTATGTAAAGTGGACATTAATTATATTTCTTACATTCCTCTTTATTTTTTGCTCATCAAATTTTACCTGTTGTTTAATTGTAGACTGTCCAGGCTGTTTTGAATTGTTTGGGGGATGAAAGATTTTTTCTCTGGTAGGAAAATTGAGATTATGAAGAATTGAGGTAAAATTTACCCAAGGTCACAGATTATCAAAATTCCTAGACAGGTTTGTACGTTCTTTTATGGAAGAGAGGGAGGGGAGGGAATTAATCGAGAGATTCACGATTGTGGTTGGTATAGTAGTGATTTTTTTTGTTGGAATTGCAAACTTTTTAATGTATTGTGTTTTGTTTCGGAGACAACGAAGTCAATGGGGAACCATTCAGGTGTCTATATTTAAGAAAATAATATTTTCTACTGAGATGTGAAAAGGTAAAATGTGATTGGAAAGAAGATGAATTAGATTTATGCTTCATCAGATAAAAAGAGGAAATGTCCAATTAAAAGCAATCTTACAGACAGTTATAAATTGATATTGATCCCTAATTACAGTGTAAGCAATTAGATACACTACTCATCTCAGTGAATTTTATTACATCTTATGACGTTGTTAATTGTACTGCCACAGATTGTAACTTGCATAGTCCAGGGGATAGAAATTTAAAAGTAAGTGGTTTTCTGGATATCCCAAAACCAGAAATTCCTGGAAAAGCTTAGCAGGTCTGGCAGCATCTGTGGAAAGCTCAGTTTCTTTAGGGAAAAATCCCTCTAGTTTATGAAAGTCCCCCAGCTCTATGCCACCTATAGCAGAGTTAACATTTCGGGTCCAGTGACTCTTCTTCAGAACCTATTCTCAAGATGCTGCCAGACCTGTTCAATTTTCCCAGCAGTTTTTGTTTCTGATATGCAGCATCCACAGTTCTTTGGTTTTTCTGAACATTCCATTTGGCTTGATAGAATTTATTTAATTATTTGTACCTTGCCAGAATTTCAGAAAACTCACAGACAATTGTCAGGTTGAAGTCACTGCTAGATAATAAGCAAAAGATAATTTACGGGAACGGCAGATCAACACTTCATTTTTGGATATGTTCACCTAATATATTCATATTTTCTCCAGTGAACTGCCTGCACTGTATGTCAGCAAAAACACAAAGCTTACTGATGCAGTGAGTCTGATTCTGATTTGAATCAAGCCAAGGATGAGAATGCATCAGAATCTGTCCTTCTCAAGGTGCTGTAGTTGATTGGAACCCTGGTTTTGCCTGGTGTGGTACTCATTTTCTGTCAGAGAAAAACCAGCAAAGAGAAAGAAGCTGACCTAACCCAACTTAGATTGGAAATTTACTTTACTCTAATTAAAGGGGAACCAGAAACTGTAAAAATTTTAATTACTTAAAGACAGTGCACAGTAACAATATGATAGCTTTCAGCACTGATGTGGCAGATTTCTAGGATTAGGATCACAGCTTCCTAGCTAGGCTTTGCTTTGACAATTGGTCAGGGCTCGTAGCACTTTCTTTAGGGAAAAATCCCTCTAGTTTCTGAAAGCCCCCCTGGCTCTATGCCACCTATAGCAGAAAAGATGACCCGGTGACCTACTTTCATGTCCATCCATCAACCCCCTCAGGAAAACTTGGCTTTCTTCAGCGTCGTTTTAAAATTAGCAATCTGTCACCCATACACATTACACATGTCGCTATCCAATAAAACTGTTATCAATATTTATAGCCTTAATGCATAGACCCCAGGCATTCTTGTTTGTTTTTGATATTCTCTTTCGGGTGAATTTTGTGCTCGATTACTAGAATTAGTCTGGTAGTGTTATAAGCATTAACATGTATGAGAGGCATACATGATAGGAGGTAGTTCATTAACACCACCCATCCCAGCTGCTTTGACATGCCTGGTTTCTGTACACTGAGTTCCAAATTTCTGTTGGACCTCTGAGATTTAGATTGCACCTTCCCTAACCTCAGGATGCCCTGAAGCATTTTACACCCAGTCAAGTACTTTTAAAATGTAACCACTCTTGTAATGCAGAAAACATGGCAGCCAATTTATACGCAGCAAACTCCCAAAAGCACCTACATGTTAATGACCAAATAGTCTGATTTGGTTGCGGGACAAATATTGTCACTTGGGGACAGCTCCTGTGCTTGTCATTGAAATAGAAACCCTACAGTGTGGAAGCAGGCCATTCAGCCTATAGAATCTATGCCAGCCCTCCAAAGAATGCCCCAACCAAACCCACTCCCTTACTCTATCCCCACAACCCTGCATTTCCCATGGCTAACCCACCTAGCCTACATATCCATGGACACTATGGGCAATTTTGATTTTGAGCTAAAGCCTCTAGAGTGGTACTTTGAACCCCCAGTTTCAGGCGAGGATATTACCTACTGAACCACAACAGATAATAACTATATGTTGGAAAAGATGGGTGAAAATGACAAACAAACACTGATTCAAATCAACAAAGTGTGCTCGCCTTAGCCAGTTTCCATTCAGTCTTACTTCAGTGTATGAGGAAATCCAAGTGCATAATGGATCAAAAAGTCAGATTGTTGCTTTAATCTGTGCAGGACAACAATTTTGCACAATTCAGCACTATCTCCCAGTGCTAGGCTCTCAGGAGGCACAGCCAATGTACATTGGTACTGATTTTACCATCTTACGTACTTATAACGAAAATTTATTCGCAAAATAACTTCGATTATTCTAAAGAGAACAATGCACATTTACAAATAAAATTTATTATGTTGAAAGAACCTGCAAGGGGATTGTGATGAGAGATCGAGAGGCTGGGCAGAGATTTGGACAATAAGAGCTGTATTATTATCACTGTAATGATCTCTGGGCATCTGTCCATTTCTGTGCTTGTTCTTATCAAGTCGAGTATCTCACCAACTTGGATTGTTAACCCATGTGTTACTGACTATACCTTTAGCAGAGATTTCTAAAATTGGTAAAGCAGGCAGAGCTGAAGCCAAATTTGAAACGGAATTTGGGTGCATTTCAGACAGTTCTGATAAAGAAACAACATTATTGGGGTCATATTTAGAGACCTGTTGGACTACAGGGGTCTTCAAGATTTCGGAAGGCTCCTTGCACTTTGCCCCAAAATTCACACACTTAATTCCAGGTTTATTTTTATTTCAAGCAAAGGCCTTAATGCTCAATGACATTCTTTAAATCCGATCCTTCAGGATATTAAAGCTACAGGCAGCTCAGTATCAGAAGCACGCAGATCCTGCGCTTAGCATGTTTACACCAGAAGCAGACCGGCAGAGTCCATTCATTCACAAAACCAACCCCAATCTTCCCAACCCCACATTTGCTGTTAGGATAGTCATTGTGCTTTGGGACCCAATCTTGGCTAACAATCCTGAGAAATGAGTTCAAATTTCACGGCACCTGGGAGATTTGAATTCAATTAATTACATAAAAAAAACTTAGCTGAAAAGCTGGTACCTTAAATGGTGATTGTTAAACTTAATTGCCTCAAAAGCAGGTCCAGTTCACTAACATCGTTCAGGCAAGAAACCTGCTGACAATATCAGGTTACACTCACAGCAATGTAGTTAACTCTTCCGAATGGACTGACAAGTTGCTCAGTTGCATTCAAGAAACTGTCCCTTCACCATCTTTTCAAATGATGGGTAGTAAGTGCCTTCGCATTCCCATGAACGAATCTTGGAAAAGGGGAGAATGCTGTTGTGAGAGACAACATTACACATCAAACAGTAAGCTGAGGAAAAGGGCAGAAGAGGGGAATTGGCTTCATACTGTTCCACTCTCTAAGATCCAGCCAAGGGATATAACAGCAAGCCCTTTGAGATTCCATTGTTCCGTTGGCAGATGTCTTACAGATTGTTAACTAAGGCTGAGGTTTAAAGGAATGTCACAGTTAATCCTTGAAATCTTTTGCCTTCAAAATGTACCAAATAAAATGTGCTAAATATTTAAAATATTGCAATATTTTTGCACATATTGTATCTTTTAAAGATTCTGTGTGTGTTCAATTTGTGGATTATGTTCCATGATAATTTTTTGGTCAGATTTTGAAACAAGTTTTTATTGAAACAAGTTTTTATTGAAAATAAATATTTGTATTTTAAAAGAAATATTGAGAAGCTATTTCTCTCAATTGCAATGATATTTAAGTTTCACTTAAAGCAGTTGAGGCTTCTATTTCTGTCATTTTCATAGTTATAAATTTTACTTGTTAAGGAAAACTTAATATAATATCATACTCCTAGTTCATTAGAAGTCTAAAAGGACAAGACCACACAGATTATAAAGAACAGTGCAGGAGAGAGAAAGGACACTTCATTCACCTGGATTGCCTCTCCAGTACACAGGCTCCCCTAGCTGAGGAGACATGGCAGTCTGGATGCTGCCATCAATGTGGGGTAAAAACAGTTGATCAAAAATTTGCTGCCTATCTCGCATCCTTCCTGACTTTTATTTCCATTGACTTTATGTCTGTGTTATTGTCCTTACTGTTAACAGCAATAACAAGTAAATAAATGATAATCTGTGGAAGGAACAGCCTTGTTTTCATGCCTACTTTAAGCTGTGGTACCGTCCTTAGCAAATGTTACCAGCAGATGGTGCAATTGCAAAGGGCTTTCAGTGTCGAAAGCAGACCTCACAGTGCAATCAAAATAATTTAAGGAATTACGTTGATTGTTTTCTACTACTACTATTTCTAAACTATTTTCTAACTGTGTGTATTTACAATACTCCACTGTGCACTTGTGTAGATGTTTCATATATAATATACATGTCCCTGAATGGTCAGTGATAACGATTTTTAAATGTGAAGGGCTTAAATGACTAGAACCAGGGATAAATGTGGCACCTAATTACTGACATTAGGAGTGGCCTTGAGGTAGGATGTCGTTACCAGAGATCCTTTGACAAGATGAGCATCAGTCATGGCTGGACTTGCCAGTCTGTGAACGAATAGAGCAGCAGGGATCTCAGAGTGTCACTAATGGCATAGATGAGCATCCACAGGCACCTATCTTAAAGGCTTTAATGTGTGCCATGGCCGACAGGAGAGAAATCTTATTTCCAACATCTGGATGAAGGGAAGTGCTAAGAGCCATAAGCAGGGCTTGGAGGGAATTGGTGCTGGAGGACAGTCGTGAAGGAGGATGTAGGTGACATCTGTCTAACGACACCTTTTGGATTGGTCCAGCTGCGGTTTGTTCCAGTGCACTCAGCGAGATCCGAAAGCTTTCAAACAGGAAGCATTTTATACCATCTCTTGCTCTGTGAGTGAAAAAGACAAATCTTGAAGCCTGTGAAAATAAAGAGCTTTGAAACAAAAAATTAGCCAGACCCATTTGATCAGTTCTTGAATTGAAAAGTGACCATTACTCTGTAGACAACATTATGTCATCATCCCTAAAAACAAATTCAAAAGAACTGTGAGAAACAGCAGATGCCATCAGTATGGTCTGGTCACAGACTACAGAATTTATGATCCTTGTATATCTTTTTCTACCCATTTGTGTCAAACCATTTGTTTGTCTTAGTAATGAATGTATGTATGTTTGGGATTTTTAGGGGATATATCTTAAGTTATCTGATAGGGAGGCGGTGGTATAATTGTAAAGTTAATAGCCTAGTAATCTAGCATCCTCAATAAATGTTGTGGGACTTAAGTTCAAATCCCACTAGGGCAAATGGTGAATGAATTAATTTCTTAAAAATCTAAAAGCTTGTCTAATAGTGACCAAGTAACATTCTCATCTATTGCAAGTAGCTGTGTAGTTAACTTTCCTTTAGGGAAAGAAATCTGCCATCCTTCCATGGTCTGGCTTACATAAAGCTCCGAATCCACAGCGATGTGGTCAGTTCTGTATTGCTGTCTGAAATGACCCGAAAGCCACTCTGCTCAAGGGCAGTGAGGGATGGGTAATGAATGTTGGCCCAGCCAACGATACCCACGTCCCATATGAATGAATTACAAAAAGATGTTGCATAGCATTAATCCATTTTTGTCTACCATTTGTTAAAGATTAATTTTGTTTACAATAAATACAGTTTATTTCCTGTTAATAATGAAATCTGATATGACTAACAATCGGGTAAATTGATCATCTTGGCGTTTTTGTTGGATAGATACATATTTGTCACGGCTTGTGGAATAGTGGGGTTCCATTATCTACTCAATGAGTGCCTATGGTTCTCCTCAGCATTGTTAGATCAAATGGCCAGTTGCATCACCTGAAGAAGCAGTGACCCTAATGCATAGGACACAAATAAACAGTGGGTATCTCTCTAGACAACTGAAGCATCATGTGTAAATGTCACGATAGTACAGGTCAACCTCCTCCTAAAAACATTTCCCTTCATCCAGTGGGGAAAGAGGGTGCATAACTCTCAGGAAATATTCCAATGGTGAGCTAGGCATCTGCAGTCTGACCCCTATGGAGGACATGGTGCTACAAATCGTGAGGGTGCCATCAGGTCAGGCTTTGGGAAATGGGAGGAGGGAGTAGTCTGTGAAGAAAATGGTCATCCAAATGCTCAAAGTTCAGCTGAAGGATGTGGAGGATACTCTTGGTGCCCAAAGCTCACTGCATCTGTACAAAGCTTTTTGGGTGCCTACTGAGTGACCAAATTCTCATCACCATTGGCTGGTGCTTTTCCTCAGGGCCAGCTGGAGGGGGGTGAGCTGCAAATTCGACCAGTCACTGACAGTCTCTTTGGGGGTGGGGGTTGGCGAGAGATGGTCCAGGGACAGCAGCATCATATTGCCACCAAAACTGACACACTCACCTCAGGCCTCAGCTAAGATTGGAATGGGGAGCTGTAGCTGAGCAGAACATCGCAAGTGAGTGAAAGGAGGAGATTCAACTAATGAACTTATTTCAAAGAGGCTTGGCAGAGTTGGGAAACAGGTCACCACCTCTAGATTCTTTCAGACAGGCATTGGTGTGTGAGAGATGCCAAAGGGCCTAGGGAGGTAGATAGGGGGTTGGATTTTATGTGGGGTGTGCAGGATGCGATTTTCTGCTCTGCTGTCTGTAACATTCATTTGCACTGCACTAACCTGAAGGCAAGCTGCTCTTGCAGCGATATTCCCCTGGGATGAGTCTTAATTGTTTCTGAGTTGAACTTCTATCTGGGATTGTCCCAGAGAGCAGCTGGCCAGTCCAAACTGGCTGCAAGAGCCTTACAAACCATGGAGAATTCACACCCAGAACATTCAATCTCTCTTCGAAAGGGTTTGATTAGAAATTTTCAGCCATTAACTTTAACTATGCCCATAATTATTGGGACACGCAACATTTTTAAAATGTTTTTTATATCCTCCCAATTTTCTTGGAGAAGGTTGTGGTGCTGAGCTTCCTTCTGAACCTGCTGCAGTATTTGCAGTGTAGGGTCACCTACAGTGCTGTTAGGGAGAGAGGTGCAAGATTTTGATCCAGCGACACTGGACATTTTGGAAGGACAAATTTGAAAGCAGAATACAGGGTTAACGGAAAGATTCTTGGCAGTGTGGAGGAGCAGAAGGATCTTGGGGTTCATGTCCACAGTTCCCTAAAAGCTGCCACCCAGGTGGATAGAGTTGTTAAGAAGGCGTATGGTGTGTTAGCTTTCATTAATAGAGGGATTGAGTTCAAGAGCCATGAAGTTATGCTCCACCTATACAAAACCCTGGTTCGGCCACATCTGGAGTATTGTGTCCAGTTCTGGTTGTCTCATTACAGGAAAGATGTGGAAGCCTTGGAAAAGGTGCAGAGGAGATTTATCAGGATGTTGCCTGGAATGGAGAGTAAGTCTTACGACGAAAAGTTGAGAGAGCTGGGGCTTTTCTCTTTAGAACGACGAAGGATGAGAGGTGACTTGATAGACGTGTACAAAATGATCAGAGGTACAGATAGTGTGGACAGCCAGAGACTTTTTCCTAGGGTGGAGGTAGCTATTACGAGGGGGCATAGTTTTAAAGTGAGTGGAGGTAGATATAGGGGAGATGTCAGAGGTAGGTTCCTTACTCAGAGAGTGGTAGGGGCGTGGAATGCATTGCCAGAGAGGGTAGTGGAGTCGGCCTCATTAGGGGCATTTAAGCGGCCATTCGATAGGCATATGGATGATAGTATAAGGTAGGGGTGGAGGTTAGATAGACCTTAGGTTTAGGGTAAAAGTTCGGCACAACATCGTGGGCCGAAGGGCCTGTACTGTTCTATGTTCTATGACACTGAAGGGAAAGTAGTGATACAGTTCCAGTGTATGGCTTGGAGCGGAACTTGCAGGGACCGCTGCTCCCATGGATTGGCTGCCTTCGTATTATAAGTGGTCAGGGTTGAGGATGTGGAAGGTGCTTCAGAGGAGCTTGAGTTGCTGCAGTGCATTTTGTAGAGATGGTACACACTGCTGCAATTGAGTGTCTGTGGTGAAGGAAGTAAATGTTTTGTCTCGAATGGTGTCAAGCTTCTTGAGTGTTGGATCTGCACCCATCCAAGCAAGCAGGAAGTGTTCCATCACACTCCTGACTTTGAGGAGTCAGGAAGTGAGTTACTCACTGCAGGATTCCTAGCTTTTTACCTGCTCTTGCAGTATTTGCAGTGACGGTATTTATATGGCAGTCCAGTTCAGTTTCTGGTCAATGGTAACCCTCAGGATGTTGATAGTGGGGGTGGTTCAGTGATGGTAATGCCATTGAAAGGCATGGTTGTTAGATTCTCTCTTGTTGGAGATGGTCATCTCCTGGCATGTGTATGGCATGAAAGTTACTTGTCACTTAAAGGGGATTATTGCATGTTAATGACCTTATTAATTGCACGACTTGCATCATTAATTATCCTGCATCACTGCCACAGGCAAACTCAAGACTGAGAAATTCTTGATGTGGAAGTTAGAGCAGGTATACTGGTCTATCATCTGGTAACGAGGTGATAGAATGGGGCTAGAAATGGGCAGGAGGAATGTTATTGGGACAGAGTAGGTAGTTAATGAGGTGGAGTTTGGTAAGATGTTGCAAGAGAAACTCTCCAATGAACAGCCAAAAGTAGAGATGCAGCTCAGAAGAGTAACATAAGCTGAATGTAAATTCCAGGCCAAACGATGAAAAGTGGTTTCTGGACAGGTTGCCTTGTTCTGACAATTAACAAACTCCTTATGAGATGTATCAGATTTAAAATTGTTTGACATATATTTTTTTTATTTTTATACAATACAGATCCACTCAACACCAACAGATACAGAATGGCCGGGTCTCGAAAAGCAGACTTAACTCAAGACTTAAGGAGGCAATAACATACATTTTAGAAAGCTTTTCCTTCTTCGCGTTATCTAACAAAAATGTCACTATTTTATGATACATATAAATCAACAATACTGTGTCAGCATTGCAAAAAGTTGAAAGAAGCATTTCTTTTAAAATAGTCATATTTTTGTTTTAGCATATGGTCACAAATCAACACACAAGCTGTATCTACCAAATACTAACACTCTTTCTCCTTTCCAGTTGTGAATAGGAACTGCATATACTTGAAATCTTCTGGTGGTTACTATACTTAGCAACTGAGGGATCTGGTCTATCAGTCATAATCTCCCAAAGACAATTGAAATCAGAGTAGACCATTCAGCCCTTTGCCCTGCTCCTCCATTTAATATGATCATGACTGATCATCTAAGTACTCTGCTCCTGCTTTCTCACTATGATCCCTTTAGACCTATGAACTATATCTAACTCCTTCTTGAAAATATTCAATGTTTTGGCTTCAACCACTTTTTGTGAATTCCACAACTGTACCTCTCTCTGGGTGAAGAAATTTCTCCTGCTCTCAGGAGAATGGCCTACCTCATACCATTGGACTGTGAACCCTGGTTCTGGACTCCCCAGTCATCAAGAACATACTTCCTGTGTTTACCCTGTCTACTCCTGTTAGAATTTTATAGGTTTCCATGAGATTCACCCCTCCCTGCCCATTCATCTAAACTATGTTCTGATGATACACTTGGCAGTTCAAACATTGCCAAAAAGAGAGATGTGTTGCAGAAGATTTTCATCCTGCACTCATCAGGACAAATGAAAGAATACCACATTTTGAACATTCATAACAATTTATTCGACAGGAGGAGAGTCCTAATGAATGGGAAAGTGATATGAAGTGTTGAGATCACTTGAAATCGGTCTCTTTTCAGCAAATGTGCGGGGCTAACATGGTTTGCCATGAGTCTCCATCAAAAGCTTCTCTTCCTAACTGCCTATTTCAACATCAGCGGGAAAACCTAATTGCAATCTGTAGTTCCTCAGAGTTCCATTGAGCAGCTGTGTATTGCCATCTTGAAATCCTGTAAAGTAGGATTTAAGTTAAAGATTCAAATAAGCGTAACAACTATCACAGCCACAAGTACATTAATGAGGTGACCACAGACTGACTGAAAGTCTTTGGTTCCAGAACAAAAAAAAGGAGCTCTGGCTCAAAAGGGAAGCCAACTGAAGGAATGGTGGGAAGAAACCAAAGGACAGGGCACCGTCCACTTTCTAAGTCTGAGAAGGTCTCCTGGCTTTGGACAGATCATTTAAAAAAACACGATGAATATCATTACAGGAAATAAAGTCAAAATAGAATGAGAAGCTGGTTGGCCACAGAGAAAACCTTTGTAGGTGCATTAGTAAGGAGATGAAACCAGCATAATGAACAGCAGGGGAAGATGGAATGATGCAATGAAGGACTGGGGACTGATAGCATGACAAAAGCATACTTTAAGGGTTTGCAACTGACAGGAACTATAAACAGCTGAAAGTGAGATAAAGGGAATAAATTACAGTTATATTGTGGGAGCTGAGAATCGTTTCAACATCAGAACTTTACAACCAAATAGTACTTTTGATGCATAGTTAATGTCGTAACCAGGGAGGCAGAGCTACCAAGTTGTATGGGGCAAGATTCCACAAAGGACAAACTAATAATGACCAGAAAACTTTTCCTTTTAATAACTGCAGCTGAGGATAGTTGGGGTCTTTATTGCATTGTCTCATACAGAAGTCAGCAGCTCCAACAGTGTAGCACTCCCCCAACATTATACTGAAATATTAGCTTAGATTATGCAACAGTGAGGCTCAAACTCACAACCTTCTGGTTCAAGAACGAGTGCTAACCCCTGAGACAAAGCTGAATGAATTGACAGACAAGAGCCTGACTAACATGCTAAATAACAAAAGGAATATGCAATATGCTAATGGAACAAAATTAACCAAAATGCTGAACAGCATTAGTGGTAGGATTAGAAGGCAACAGGAAGAGGAATACAGAGTCTGGTGCAAGGAAGCAAATGCCCTGATATATTGTGGGATTCAAGAATAGGGGCTCGATACACTGGCAGATCATAAACAAATGGACTAAGGCATATTTGCCTTTTAACGTGTTGAATCTCTTGTATGTGTTACAAAATTTGCATAAGTTTGTTGAGGTGAGGTGAGTAAGTGGACCTTGCAAATCTTGACCATATCATGTACATTAGTTCCTCCCTGACACACCAGTGTGACACACATCCTATGTGGATTACTGTACATTCAACAAAATTTAGCATTACAATTTACAGGGTAATGCACAGGATTAGTACCAGACAAGTATTTTATGTAATTTATCGAACAGTCATCTACAAAAACATATATAAGTTTGTTCACACACCCAGGTATAGCTCTATAAGGCTTTTCCACCTCTACGCAAATGTAAAATATTAAAAATCTTTAATCCTTTTTATTTTCTATTAAATTAAAATTTAATTACACATTTAATAAAATATAAATATTGTGTAAAGAAATCTGACAAATAAGCCTTGTTTCTAAATATGACCAATGCAATCTAACAAAAATAAATCCTTAAAGCTTCGGAGCAAAGGTTACTGGAGATTTCCACCAACACTATTAATATTGCATAGGACTACATGAGTCAAAAGTAAAATCCACTTTCGTTAAATCAAAGCCATTGACATTATTGTCACAAAATAAATCAATTCTTTGCCCCCAGAATTATTATTTTATAAACATGCTGGGATATTTCCAAACCAGCAAACAAGATCAGTATTAACGGTCCAGTAGCCATTTTTCTGCACACACATTGTGTTAAAAGTTCACAGTTAAGTTCCCTGTGAAAAATGAGACATTTTATTTACTTATTATAACACAGGCATTAGACTAAATTATTAAATGTTAGAGGATGACCTCCCAACCCCAGCATTTTCATTAATGGTTTTAGTTAATAAAAAGTCTTTTTTTTTAGAATTTGTTTTGAACTTTAATGTTAACTGTTTCATTCATCTCTCCCATCTCTAAATCCTACAAACAGTTGGCATTCGACCACTGGCAGGGTGCAAAGGCAGCTCTGCCATCCTGATGGGATGGACCATCTTGAAAGACTGGCCCTATCATTGTGAGTGTTGCCAGTGCCACATAGGGCATGGAACATATTTGCTCTGCTCACTGGTTCCAACAGGCAACTGCCTTCACAACAGCAGCAATGTATGACGACTGCAGGAAATCAACCATCCTGCTTTCCTCCTCCACCTGGCTTGCCAACTAAATGGTTTTAAACAGGGTTGGCTTTTCTCTCCAATCCCCAGTGTCTTTTCTCTGTCGGGCACTGCCCCTGATGGATAGCAGCAATTAATTCTACAGTGGATGTGTTACACTAGGGTTGGTGGAAACACAGTCAAGGGTGGAAATATCCTTATGTGATCCTGAGTCTTCAGCTTGAGTGCAAGCAATTCAGTATACGTCACTCAACTAATTCACCTTGCAGAAGTAGTCTTCAGGATTGCAACCATGTTTTTCCAATCCCATGTGCACTGTGGCAGCAAGCATCACTGGTCTGGGGTGCGGACATGTTTTGCAAACTGTGTAAAGTGGACTCTCAGGCTCAGAAGCCACAAAATGTGAGGCAATGTCCTGTTGCATTTCAACTGTCCCACCATAAACAGAGCCATCTGGTTTCCAACTTTACCATGAACTTATTACTTTGCAATATTTGTCACGACTGAATAGGCAGGCCAGCACTGCTGAGCTTGTGATCTCTGTGAGATAAAAGGCCAAAAAAAAGGGTCTTGATCAGGACATTTTTCATAACAGAGAACAATCTGCCCATTACTCCGGATTCAACGAGCAAAATCGAAGCACTCAGTTGATCTGTGAAGTATTCACGGGCCCAAGTTCAAGTCCCACCTGCTCCAGAGGTATACAATAACACCTCTGAACAAGTTGATTAGAAAAATAGGTTAAATAATATTAAAAAATTAAGAGGCGTGGTGTTAAATTACAATTTGATAGGTAATGTCAGTCCGTTTGTATCACGCCCAAGTGAGTACTTTCGAGGTACCTTCATATGCAAGGGACGAATGAGCCAGTGGGTTATGCAAGCTTTGAGGAATAACAGTTGAACTTGATTCAGGATCTCAATACTGACTCTCTGGGCTATGGGGTTATAGGTACTGGAAGTCCCCAACTGATTTTGTTCACCTCACTAGCCTATGACCTGGCAGAGACCAACTCATTCAGCTCAGAGGTTTGCACTAGGGCATCTGCCAGGCATGGATGGTTCATGATTATTAGCATTTACCTACCGAAACAGCAACATTTTCTGTAAAAATTAGTAATCGGATATTTCAACTGCTGTTATCTTCATCAAAAAGTGCACACAGTATTTAGAAGGGTGATTGAAAATGGGAACAATAAATGGCTTTTTTTTTTGTTTTTCAATAGGCTCCTAACCACCTTTTAAAATGTTTCTGTATGATGTTCATTTATGTCAAAAGAGCACAATGTAAAATATATATATTATATAAACAAGACAGCCCCCCCAGTCAACCCAAGGTGCTAAATTCAGTCCCAGCAACTATACCTATGACCCTACACTATACTAAGCCAGTTATTTAATAGAATATTACACTGAAATGTCACCTCAGTCCTACCTCTATACAAAATAACTTAGAAATGTTGCAGTTTTACAAAATCCCGTGCAATGTATTTGCATCAATTCGTCACTATACAGTTACATGATATAAAAATTGCTGGTGTGCAAAACTATATATATGTACAGTACTAGCAGTGTGTGTCTCATTACAGTGGGGTCAGGTTTGTTGGCAATTTTCTACAGTGATTATCCTGCTGGGTGAAGGTAATGGTGCTGAAGGGGGCACTTGGCTCTCAGTGGGCGAGGCACTCTGTTGCCTAGTGGCCTCCATTGACGTTGCTGCTCCCAATAGACCAGTCGATGATGATGAAGCTTAGGCTCATGGTCATGAAGACAATGCCTAGGCCTGCAAAGCAAACAGCCTAGAAAATAAGGCAGAGAGAAGTGATTAATAAGGCATACAGGACACTGCCAGATTTAAAAGGTGGGGAGCAGTCAGGTGAGAAAGCAACTTAGGAAGTATAGCAATGCGTCAATATCAATCCAACACCAGTTCAACCAAATGCTTTATATCATAAGTGGTATTACATGTAATCGAGTCATAGAGTTGTACAACATGGAAACAGGCCCTTCGGTCCAACTTGTCCGTGCCAACCAGATATCCTAAATTAATCCAGCCCGTTTCGTCAGCATTTGGACCATATCCCTCTAAACTCTTCCTATTCTTGTAATGAATGGACAGAAGGAGAACATTGACTGTCTTGGCTTTTTGTCAGAGCTATTCATTAGCTCAATTTCTCTGGTCTTTTCCTATATATCTTCACATATTTCCTTTTGAAGTCGATTTCCAAGTTCCTTTTGAAAGTTACTATTGAATTTGCTTCCAACACTCTCTCAGGCACTGCATTTCACATCATAACAACTAGCTGTGTAAAAAAAAAGTCTTTTCAACTCTCTCCTGGTTATTGCCAATTATTTTAATTGTGTCTTAAGACTTTCCTGTCATAGGAACAGTACTCTGTCAAAACCCTTCATTGTTTTAAACAAAGGGCGCCCATCAACTAAGGATTATACGTTATGCAGCACCTTCAGATTTAACATATCAACCAAGCTTCAGCAATGTGATGAGACAGGAAAGATTTCTTGGGTAGATGCAGACAGACAATTGGCTATGGTGCTGTTCAGTAAGTATTCAGTAGATTTACCAGCACTTTCAGGGTTGGAATTGAATACATCCCCAGTCCCCTCCCAAATATGGACTTGTGTCGTGCTAGAAAAAGCAATACTGCAATGAATACAGATTCAGACAATGGTGGTGCAACTGAATTACCATGGCATTCCTCTTTGCTGATTACAATGTTGGTATCATCCCTCCCTATTGTGAAAATAGATGCATAATATTCATTAAGCACTATACTAATATCCTTCACCTCCACACTCTTACCATCCCTAATAGGCCCAACTCTTTCTTTCATTATTCCTCTGCTCTTTATGCATTTGTAGATAAAAGTTTTAAGTTTTCTGTAACTTTACTTGCTAATATTTCTGCACAACTCTCTTTGCTTTTGTAATTTCCTTTATAGTTTCAATCCTACACTTTTTATACACCTTTAGGTTTTCTGCAGTAGAGTGTTTGGTATCTATTAGAAACTTCCCTTTCTTCACCTTTTGTGTCCTTTAAGGTGCTTGACATTCAGAGGACTCTGGATTGCATGCTCTAAACCGTCAACACCACTTCCTTGAAGGCCTACCACTGACCTGTCAATGGGATAAGGGTAGTACTGACAAGGTCAGTATTGATTAACTATCCTTAATTGTCTGTTATTTGAGTGGGCCGCATCTTTTTTCAGAGAGCAGTTAGGGTTCAATGACATTTCTATGGGTTTAGAGCCACGCATAAGCCAGAGCAGGTAAGAATGGCAGATTTCTTTCTCTAAAGATGGGCTTTTGACAACAATCGATAACATCACTGTTACTAAGACTAGCTGTCAATTCCAGATTTTTCATTGAATTCAAATTCCATCAGATGATGTGTTGGGATTTGAACCGTCAATCTGAGCCTCTGGATTGCTTGTTCAGATACATTGCCACGATCTCCCCAGTGTAGTCTTTCTAATCCACTTCAGCTTGGTAGAGTTAGCTTTTCCACACTGGAGAAATTTTATTTCTGATGTGACCTAGTCCTCTTCCATAAATACCCTGAATTGTGATCACTTCACCAAAGGCAAATCAGGTCAAGATTTATACACTTAATAGTGGGGTCCTGGGGAGTGTTGACAAACAAAGACGTCTTGGGGCACAGGTTCACAGTTCCCTGAAAATGGAATTGCAGGTAGTGAAGAAGGCATTTGGTTTGCTTGCCTTTATTGGTCAATGCATTGAGTAGGGGAGTTAGGAGGTCATGTTGCGGCTGGACAGGACATTGGTTAGGCCACTTTTGGAACACTGCATTCAATTCTGGTCTCCCTACTATAGGAGAGATGTTGTTAACCTTGAAAGGGTTCAGAAAAGATTTACAAGGATCTTGCTGATTGGAGGGTTTGAGCTACGGGGAGAAGCTGAATAGCCTGGGCCTAGGCTGAGAGGTGACCTTATAAAGGTTTATAAAATCACGAGGGGCATGGATAGGGTAAATAGCCAAGGTCTTTTTCACAGGGTACGGGAGTCCAAAACTAGAGGGCATAAGTCTAAGGTGAGAGGGGAAAGATTTAAAAGGGACCTGAGGGGCAACTTAGGTGTGCATGGAATGAGTTGCCAAGAAAAGTGGTGGAGGCTGGTACAATTACACTATTTAAAAGGCATCTAGATGGGTACGTGAATGGGAAGGGTTTAGAGGGATATTTAGAGGCCAAATGCTGACAATCAGGATAAGATTAATTTAGGATATCTGGTCGGCATGGACGAGTTGGACCGAGAGGTCTGTTTCCGTGCTGGACAACTCTATCACTCCATAACTAAATGCTCTCCAAATGATACTTATACTAGTTGACCAGCTTCATTCCCCAAAACTAAGTTCAAAAGTGTCCTCTTCTTGTGCTCTTGCTATTATATGCTGGTTAAAAACAAAAATTCTTCTGAATTCTGTTTTAAGAATTCTGGTCTTCAACTTCTCCTATCCTGGTCTAACAGTGAAATATTTTTATTCACTGATGAGAAAAGGAGGAACAAACATCACATAATTAAAAAAAACCCTTTAAAACAGTAAAATAAATATGAGCAGAATGACGCAATAAACTCAATATCAGAACGTCCTTAGTAACCAAACCCCATCAACATCTGCCACGCAACTATCTCTTTGTGTCAATCCTGACAGGTCACATTGTTCAAATGTACATTTGAAAAACTTACTCTCCTGATAACAACACGATCTAGGCCAATGCAATCTGTGCTTACATTTCCCTTCCCTAGTCCTATCCAGTGAGATGAGAGGGCAACAGAACCAAAAAGGTTTGCTCCCTCTTTGAGAACACATACCTGGGTTGATTTACCCAGTTACAGAATCCCTACAGTGTGGAAGCAGGCCATTTGGCCCATCAAGTCAACACCAATATTCCGAAGAGCCAGCACCGCCCCCACCCCCCCCAACTATATCTCTGTAACCCTGCATTTTTCATTGATAATCCATGTAGCCTGCACATCCCAGGACACTATGAGCAATTTAACATGGCCAATCCACCTAACCTGCACATCTTTAGACTGTGGGAAGAGACCAGAGCACCTGGAGGAAACCCACACTGACATGTGGAGAACATGCAAACTCCACACAGACAGTTACCTGAGGATAGAATCGAACCCAGGCCCCTGGCACTGTGGGGCAGCAGTGCTAACCACTGAGCCATCATGCCACCTTTCTGTATGCCTCATGCTATGTGGGGCTGATTAGAGAACTTGCAGGGGATTTTTTCCCCCTTAACAACTGCTCCTCCTGTTGCTGGGGGTGCTGTGGTTGTTTAAGAGCAGTATCAGGCACCCTGTATCTGCTGCCCCTCAGCCTTCATTGTCAACAAGCCTCAGTCCAGGAGAATGGATAATGGTTATGACAACAGGTTTAGGCCCTGTGTGGGTTAATGAATGGTGGTGAAAACATGGAGAAAAATTCAGCACTAATTGCACAGAATTAACCGTGCCTTCAATGTTGGTCATGTCAATAAAGTCCTTGAAAACAAAACCCCAGAAGATCAATGGAACATAAATCAATAGTGAGTGTTGTTTAACGAGGTAATGCAGTGAAACCGATTATTCCATACAGAATAGCTTCTGTACCTTTGGGCTTTGTGGGAGGCACCATGGACAGTGCTCCTGCCTCTCAGTGAGAAGGCCTGGGTTTGAGGCCCCACCGGACTTCATGACCAAGGAAGGTGCATTCTTAGCAAATGCTTCCAAAACATGCCAAAAGCTGGCTGCAAGAATAGGAAAGATTCCTGGTCAAACATGGGCCGGAAAAACCATAATAGCCTCACTACACACAGCTCCAGATCAAGGTGTGACTGTTGCCACGGCAACTTAGATTCGTTAGTGAACTGTGGCACACCACCTCAGTTTGGGCTCTGCTTTCTGGAGACGTACCAGGATCTTTGGAAGTGACGTCATTGGTTCTTCTTCCTTTGGCATTATCCGTATGTAGAACACAGCTGGGAAGATGAAAATTAAACATGGGGCAGAGGTCGCACCTGAAGAAAGAAAAGAGATACCTATCAGTCATTAACATCTGACTGGCCTTTAAAGGCGCATTATACAAATTATACTTTTACTCTAGTTAGTTCCTCATCAAAGATTCATATACTTTGTTGACTTTTTTTTACACAGTAATAAGAGGGGTCAACTCTAGGAAATGGGATTGTGGCCATTTCCTGCCCCTTTGTGTCAGCGCTGAGTACTCCGCAGTTCACGACTGAGTAAATCTCTCCCTCCCCCCCTCAAACAAGACACCTCTACCTAAAACCATTCTCAGCATGAGAGGGGCTGAACAGAAACACAGCTGAACGCAGTCTTGTTCTCGCTTAACATTCACACAAAGCTTGGCTCACTAGCTAGCAGTCAGAAAAAAAAAATGGTTAATTTCTCCCATCTGGTGACTAATTGTTACATCGTTGGCCAAGAGGAGCATTAATCATGAATCCAAAACCATCTGGCTCTGGATTATTCTGTGTAACACCAGGGGGCTCACCTGTCCACATCTTTGGTTGGCCTTTTAAACATGGATCAACAGATCTCCTCTCATACTGCTACTGAATATGGGACCTAGAATTCTGCTTCTGTAATTTACTGATGTCGCAGTGCACTTTCACAGCAGTCCATCTATTGCTGAATAGTGGCACGTTACATCTTACAATTGGTCGAAGATTAAACTATTCCATATCTTCCAGATACCACAAGCCTCACAGAAATGAGATCTGCAATGCTGTGCACCTGCCATGTTATAACACTTGTTTGAGATGTAAGTAGATTTCTTTGATAATTCTTCTCCCTACACCAAAACCCTCAACTCAACTATTTATAATCATCCATTTTTGGGCCCTGGATTTCACATAAAATTGAGGGAAAGTCTTTCCATCCCATAGGATTTGCAACATTTTCTCATGGTAAAAGTATTTTTTTCACTCAGTTATTATATAAAAATTACTTTTTTTCTCTCCATTATTATATAGAAAGTATTTTTCATTCCTTAACTTCCAATGTGTCAGTAATAGTTGCTGCCTGATGTAGTCCACTGTAGAAGTGCCAGCAAAGTTTGCCCAATGTCCCTAATGATATTCCCCCTCCACACAGACAGTATTATAGTTGTGCAACACAGTGTGAAACTGGAGGAACACAGCAGGTCAGGCAGCATCAGAGGAGCAGAAAAGCTGACGTTTCGGGTCAGGACCCTTC